AGTTAGTTGGTTATGTATTTTTTAAATAAAAAAAAAAATTTTGAATTTACTTACTTGTAGCCGGAGTTAGAGGCGGTTGGATACTTATGACCACTACTGTATTTATTATATTATTTTGATTAATCACTTATTTATTGTTATATAATTTATTTTTACTTTTTTTTATATGGTTTATTTGTATTTTGTAATCTATTCATATTTCTAGTTATATTATATATTATGTTATTTATCTCTTAAAGTATAGATATAAATTAATTATAAAACATTATAGAAAAATTATAATATTTTAATATCTAATAAAATAAAGTTTATTATATTTTTATATTAAAATCTATTTAATGATAGTATTTTTAAATTTTTAAAATAACTTATTATTTAATAATTACAAGAAAATAAAATTTAATTTATTAGATTTATTTTATTAAAAACTATTAAATGATTATATTTTCATATTTTTGAAATCAATATAGTAAAATATATAAGTTTAAAAATTTAACTTTTTTTTTATAATAATTTATTATATATTTATCTTTAAAATATCACTAATTATATTATTTTTGAATTTTTATTTAGAAAATATCATAAAATTTATTACAAAATAATTAATATTTAAATAAATTATTTTAAAAATATTTAAACTTATTATAAATAATTTTAATTATTAAATAAAATTACAGGAAAATTTATCTATAAAATGCTTGAAGAAATAAGGTTGTTAGATAAAATCTTTATTTAAATGTAAAAAAGTAAAATTTAGCAAAATATATTAAAATTTTATTAAAAATTCTGCAAAATTCTAAAAAAGATAAAATTATATCAAAGTTTATAAAAATGTAAAACTATATCAAAACTTTAGTAAAAATTAATAAAACTAAGATTACTTGTCTAAACTTATTTTAAATTTGATAAAACGTTTAAATTATAATTTTGCTAAAGTTTTAATATAGTTTCATATTTTTATAAGCTTTAATATAGTTTTATCTTTTTCAGAATTTCTTACTAAGTTTTACCTTTTTTCTATTTAAATAACTTGTAAACTTTAGGTTTCATCTAGCAACCTTAAGTGAAATTATAGTTTAGACATTTTATCAAATCTAAAATGAGTTTAGATAAGCAATCTTAATTATTTATTATATAGTTTATTATCATATATTTTGTATCTATAATATGATCTTTAGCTAATTTTTTTTTTATAATTCTCTATGTAATTAGTTATTTTTTTAATCTTCTAATATTATAATTATTATATATTTTATTGAAAAGAATTATATGATATATCATTTTATGATTTTTTGAATTTATAACATTATATCTATTTTAGTTATCTATTTATTTTCTGATTTTTCTATAATATTTTCTTTTTTCTTTAATATTTATATTCTTATTTCCTATTTTTTATATTCTTAATTCTTATATTTCATATTCATATTTTTTTTTATTTTTCATTCTTATTCTTAAAGATAAAAAGAATTTAATTTAAATAAGTAATTAATTTTTTATTTATTAGATTATTTTTTTAAAAAAAAAATAATAAAATAAAATTATTTATTTTTATAATTTATTTATTTTTTTTTTTTAAAAAAAAATAATAATTATAAAATTTAAAATTTATAAATATATACTTTAAAATATAAATTTAAATTAATTATTTTATAAATATTATAACTTAAAATAATAATTAATTTTAATAATAAAATATTAAACAATTTTTTAATAATAAATATTAATATGAATTTTTATTCATGATAAAAATATCAATACTAATATATTTTTTATATAAAATATTGATTTTATAATATAAAATAAGAGAATTTTATTTATATATAAAGTATTTGAATATTATATAAGGGTTACAAATAATATTTTTTAAATTTTGTAGATAATTTAGTAAAAATGAAATATAATAGGATAATAAGTAATGGTTTAAATACATTTTCTTATGTTTAAAATTTTTTTCAAAATATTTAAAATCAAAGAAAAATATATCTAAATTAATATTATATATTAAACTAATTTTAATATATAACTTTATATTAATTTATATAAAAGTTTATATATATTATATAACTTGTATTTATTAAAAAATATTTTAAAAATATTTAAATAAAATTGTATTATTATGTATTAACTTTAATAAAAATAATATTAATTTAATACTATATTATATAAGATCTAAAATTTTAATTAGTATAGACTTATGTAAAATTTATATTAACTTGTAATTTTATATAAACTTATATAATTATATTTAAAATTTTATATAATTTTATGTTTAAATTTTAATAAATATACTTTTAAAATATAGATTTTTTGTAAATGTAATTTTACTGTTTTTTTGTAAATTTTAATATTTTACCAAGTTTTATAAATTTTTGAATAAGATTAAGATAATCTTTTTTAAGTTTTACTTTACTATTTAGATTATTGGCTAACTTTAGGGTATTTATTTAGCAACTTTAGATATAATGAATTACAACTATTTGTAAATAATTACAAGTTTTTATTTTTAATATTATATATTAGTTATTATGTCTTGGGACTCGATTTTGATCGTCGATATTAAACAAATGCTTATTTATCAATTTTATTAATCTCAAGTTTATTCTTGTATAGAAATGCTGTTTAAATCATCACTTATTGCTTGTCCCGAGTTTCGTGACCATGTTAAGGAAGAAGTGGAAAAACTTTTTATCTCTTCAGTATCATTCATACTTTTTGGATAAAACTCACTATAAAATATATAAAATTTGGTAAGAAAAAAAAAAAAAGTTTTTTTCGATATGGAATTCTCTTTTTACTCACCCATAAAGTATAACAAACATCATCATAATAGAAGAACCAATTTGGTTTATCAAACTTAGCAGGATGAGCTGATCCAAACGTTTTTTTATGAATAAAATTCCAACAGCCCAAAAGAGACAAGAGAAGGCAGACCAGCTTACAGCCAATGTTAAAGTAAAGTTTATAATCTTCAACTGTAATACACGCATAAAAGAAACGAGTTAATCGAGAAGATAAAAGATTAATCGGGATACATCGCATCGTAACTTAGGCTTTACCTTTTGAAGGAAAGCTTTTTTTGAAAGTTGTTTACTTTTCAAAGAATCATCTGCTTCATCTATCAATCTAACGCATTCTATAGTCAAGTCAACTAATAACCTTCCATACTTAAACAAGCACAATACACAAGCGGAATTAGCAATGCTATATGTAATCAAGATACAACTGTGACTAATCATATACATCCGTCGATCTTGTATTTGAACATAGTATCCCCTTAAACACGAAAAAATGGAACTGATTATTCCCAGGATTATTATAAATGACCAATATATAAGCAAGATCGATTGATTTGACGGAATGAAAGCTGTCTGTTTACATTTTTTGTCGAGACGATTTGCTGTTGCTCGATAAAGTGTCAGATCTGGTATTAATTTAAATCTACGTAAGAGAAGAAAGAAGTTGGCGTATATTCATGGGAAAATTAAAATCCATGCAGTCTTTAATTTATACTTACATCCCTACAATATAAGTTGCGATTGCGAATTGACCAAAAGTCCAACTTGCAGAATTCATAAAGCTCGTTAGAATTACATCATTGGGCAATAACTTAAATGCAACGTTTATCATATGTACAGCCCTAACTAAAGAAGAAAAAAGAAAGAGGATTAAAAAATAAAAAAAAAATCAAGAATCCGAATGATAATTCCCTTTTCTTTTTATGATACTTACATAAAGAGTGTAAAGTAAGCCAAAGAAGGAAACCGGTTATAGGTACAAAGATATAATCCTTCCATAAAGGAATATGATCATGAAAATATTTATATATTAATAAACCGAAAGCGAACAAGTTTAATATAATGCAAGTTACTATTACTATGTAATATAACCATAAATATGAGTCATCTGGTTTACATGACAGTCTGCAGTTATCACTCAGATCAAAATAATCAAAAAATGAGGATGAATATGAATGACCGGAAGAACTCTGAATCATTTTAAATTAAAGGAATAAGAATGCGTTTGTATTAAAAATCATTAAAATTATAAAACGAAAACCGCTTATTTTGGATTATTGTGTTATATACTGTATATAAATATAATGTAATGCGCGTAACAATTTAACAAATCAATGTGCCAAAAAAGAAAGGACCTAGATCAAATACGGTAAGATGATACCCGTTGCCATTATAATTAACCAAAATGTGAAATTCCAAGAACTTCTGTTAAAGAAAAGAATATCATTATTTATTATTTATTATTAATGAATTTTTATAAATGTAATTCTTTGTACATAGTACAGAGTAGATGTTGTGTCATGAGCTTAAAATCAAATTATTACGGCATACCAAATCCGAATTAATTTGTGTTATATTTTAAGTTTGATCACATCAAGAAGGTTTCAGCGTTAAATTAAAAAATTTTTTTAAAAACATCTTTTAAAGATGTTTTTTTTTTCGAACACAAATCTATTATACAATTAATCTAGCATGACGCAATATTTTTTTTTTTTTTTTATTCTAAACTTTTATTTATAAAATTAAGATGTGAAAAACAAATATAAAATAGTACTTCTTTCGTTGAAAAGAAATATAAAAATGTTATAATAAATGAAAAGAATCGTTGAATTAATTGATTTGAACATTTGAACTTAAAAAATCATTGTACGAAATTATGAAAATATTTCAATCTCGTATATTTTATTTACCTTTAATATTTCTGATGCTTATCAATATAATGCTCATCTAAATTTTTTTGTTCCCAAAATTTTTTACTACACTCTCTGCAAAAAAAACTTTTATCATGTTTAATCATATGATGAAATTCTAAAGTGGATTTATCAAAAAAGACTTGGGAACAAAATTTGCATAAAATTCTATAACCATGTGAATTCTTTGCATGTTTATTAAACGTTACATTATCATCGTATAATTCCTCACATAATTTACATTTCATTTTTTTTGGTCCAGAGGGTGAGGTGGATGATGTCGCGGGTGGTGAAATGATTTCCGTCAAAGTTGAGGTATCCAATGACCCTTCTGTAGGCTTCTCTTTGGTTTCATTCTCCTTTTGTGTATTTTTAAACTTGATTTCTTCCATCACGATTTCATGAATGAAAAATTCTCTCTTCAATTGTGGTGATGAAACATTTAATTGATTCAAAAATTCAAATTCAACTCTAACTTCGAGAGTATCGGTTTTACGATTATAATGCTTATCTTTAATGTGACCATTTAAAATCTTTTGTTGCCAAAACGTTTTGGTACAAAATTCACACCGAAATTCCTTAACGTGTTCTTTCTCTAAATGATCAGCCTTTTCCTTTTTACTATCAAATATTTTGGAACAAATATCACACAAGTATGGAAGACGATGTCTTTGTCTAGCATGTTTATTAAATTCAGTTACGTCGGTAGATATTGCTTTACATTTTTTACATATGATATCCTTTGGTAACGCTTCTTTTGGTATGGGAAAATTTATTCGATTGTTTAACTTTGGAAAGATTATTTCATGAATAAAACGTGTTGATTCTAGATCGGATTGAGATGAATCTTTCATGGCGAAAAAGTAGAGAAGTTAATTATTCTTATCTGCCTACGATAAAAGGAAATTTCCTAACGGAGACCTTAAGGAAAAAAGTTGGAGGCTGAAAGTTTTACAAAATTTAGCCCGCCGCTTTTATTTTATATACATCTTAATGATTGTCGTGGAAATTTCCTGAAATGATTTCAATAAGAATATGCAAATTCTCACATGTTGTTGCACAAGATTTCATGAGAAATACAGTGCATAAGATGATCAAAAGGTCCAATTTGAACGAAAATGATAAAATTTATTCGATTATTTTTATTCAAGCAACAACCTAAATGTTATGAAAGAAATTTTCTAGCTAAATGAAAACTTATCTAAAATCTACCCAATTACCCACCAAATTCTAATTCAATGTCCCATCATGGAAGTGTCATCATTATAACGATGATTATTTCTATTATGAATTTCAAAATATCTGATGTTTCTAAAATAAAGATTACATTCTTCACATTTGGGATAATTAACTAAATTAGTTCCATCATCGTCATCAGACCTTGTTCGATTAACATCCTCTTGCATCTTGCTATGCCCTTCATCACCTTTTGTAAACTCGGGTGCATCATGAACATGATCATGTTCATCGATCGATGAGTCGCTCTCCTCCTCCGAATCATCAAATTCCTCATAATTCTCCACTTCTCCTTGCATCAGAGTACATCCTTCATACTCATTTGCGTACTCCACTTCCATACTTACTTGTGCATCCTTTTCTACATGTGTTCCAAAAATGTGATCATGTAAATCTTTCTCAAGATAATATGAACTATCACAATAATTACAATAAAATTCTTTAATTGAATGATCATACTTCCTATGGACTTGTAGTGATAGATCATTATAATGAACTTGAGAACATATCTCACATATATGTATCAAATCGTGTTCTTGTTCAACATGTTCATTAAATTCAAGACGACTTCTAAACATTTCTTTACATAACTTACATTTAAAGTTGTAGGTAGCTAGTAAATATTCGGCCAAAACGTTTTCCATCTCCGTACTTTTAATGAAATCATGAAGGAATTCGGGGGATTCCTTTTTCTTTGATCTCGAACCTTCTTCTTGCGCGAAATTTGGATTTTGTGGGTTCGTGGATCGGATTATTTCTAATTGGGAAGGTTGCGGTTGCGGTTGTACCGGGGATTTTGCATCCTTTTGATGTTTTTTGCTTGAACAATGATCTGATAAACTTTTTGCAGTAAGGAAATGTTTTTTGCATTCTTTACATGAAAATCTGTGAAATTGTTTTTCATGTTCCTTCTTAACCCGTTTTTCATAAAATGCTTGAAAACAATAACGACATGAAATTTTAACATCATGTAATCTCATGTGCTTATTAAATTTTTGAGTACTAAAAGTTCCTGAACAAATCTTGCATTTGATTGACTTTGGTTTAATTGGCATCACTTCGTGAATAGTTAACAGTCCCTTTGATTCCCCCGATGATAAGTTCTCATCAGGATGCTTTGCACGAAAATGTTCATTTAATCCAACATAATCAAAACATGTCTTTGGGCAAACAGTACAGGGAAAACATCTTGTATGATTGTTTTTCATGTGTGATCCACAAGCATATCGAGTTGGTAATACTTGACAACAAACCAAACACAACCATTCATATTTATGCACTTTTTTTGCATGAAATCTAAACAATGTGTAATTAGAAATGATTTTTTGGCATAATTTACATTTCAGGAAAGGTGTTCCACGATTATCTTCAAAGATTTCGTGCAAGTAGGTTACGTCATCTTCACGAACCACTTCCTGTGGTACAATTGCCGAAGGTAGATTTGTTTGAAGGTAGGTTGTTGAAGGCATAAATGATGTTGAAGAATTAATAGCTGAAGGTAGAAAATTTTCACAAATGTGTTCCTGAGAATGTTCGTTCAATTCAGCTTTGTCATAAAATTTCTTTGGACATACATTACAAGAAAAATCTTTTGTATGGGTTAATTCCATGTGTTTTTCACAAGCTCCTTCAGATGCAAATAATTGACAGCAAACCGTACACAAAAATTCATAAAAATGAATATATCTAGCGTGATACTTAAATAGTACGAGACTTTTAAATGTGCAATCACATAATTTACACTTAAAGAGTGTCGTTCCAGATTCTTGAAACATTTCGTGCAAGAAGACTACGTCTTCAACTTCATGCTTAATTTCCTGCGAATCAACTTCCATCGTTCCTCCTTGTGGTCTATTATCATCCTCATAAACACCCTTATCCTCATCGTCGTCATCTTCATCATCCTTAAGTTCTTGAGAACTTGAATGAATTTCACGAACGTGTCTATCCAAACTTTCTTTGACATTAAAAATTTTACCGCAGAACTGACAGAGCCTCTTATGTTGTATATTAATATGTCTTCCAAGGAACTTTTTCTCCTGAAATACTTGAGAACAATTAAAACAAATAAATTTTGTCTCGTGCTCTACTTTTGCGTGTTTGTTAAATTCCTTGTTGGAATCAAAGGTTCGTTTGCAAAGTTTACATATCAGTGTGGTGGTATCGTCGTATTGGTATTCGTGAAGAAACACCGGATCCTCGATAATTGACCTGCGATTATTTTTTACTGATGGAACATCAGTGAGGAGAGTTGGAACAACCATCGGTTTACTATTTAAATTGTCAACGGAATTAAATTTAGAAGCAGGAGGAGGTTCTATTCCAAGATGTACACGTCTGACGTGATTTTTTAATCCATGATAACCCCAACAAACTTTTTGACAATGGTCACAAGGAAATTGTTTATGAGCTTCTTTCATATGAGAAGTTAGGTTGATTTCATCAGTACAAACTTTGCAGCAAATTCTGCACAAGTGTTTATAACCATACTTTTTTTTAACGTGATTATTAAACGTAGTCAAATTATTAAAAATGTTTTTACATAAATTACATTCAACTTTTCTTCCTTTTGGCGTCTCTATAATTTTGTGTAAATAAATTTCCAAAGAACCATCATCATTATTATTGAAAGGTTGTGTTTGAAGAAAGGTTGAGTTTGAAGGTCCAAGTCCAAAACCTGTATTAGAAAACATTTTTTGAGGAGAGGTTGGGGGTTTTTTATTTTGATTTTTTTAGGAAATTTATACAGTGATGATCAACGCGGATAAAAATTCACACGCTATCAATGATAATCTACCACACGTAGCGCACGTAATATTTTGATTTGATTTTTTATTTTGACCATATTTTTCAAGTATATTAATTTATGGCCAATATCTGTATTAAGGGCACAAAGAAGAAGCCAATCTGTCAATATTTTAAACTTTTCACGTCTAGAATTGAATTCTAAGGTATGTACAGGATACTAGGTTGATCTTTTTATTTTTTAATTTTAGTTTCAAGGTACAACGAAACTTTTTATGGGAGATTATTGTATCAAACTTTCATAACAAAATAATTTTCTCGTTTTCTTAATATGTATTGCCAAAATTTATATAATAATTTAAATTTTTCAAAATATGATTTTTTTTTTTTAAAAAAAAAAATCATATTTTTGAAAAAATAGTCATATTTATATCTCGACCTTAAAATCAAAGGTTCATTAAATTTGGCGAAAAAAAATGAAAATGAAAATCTTATAGAAATTAAAATTACCTTTCTTAAATCTTACGCTTTTTACAATGCGAAAAGCTTGAGGACCATATACGGATACTTCCTGCGGATGTTTTTGCTGTTGATGCGCATCAAGAGAATTCAATTTCCTAAATTTCCTATGACAGATCGTACATTCGAATAATCTCTATGTTGTTCAATATGTTTCATATATATTCCCCCATTATAAAACACATCCTTACATATATCGCACACAAAGATCCTAATTCCATGATCATCTTTAATGTGCCTATTTTAAAAACGTCGTTTGGCATAGTTTACAAAAGACACGAGAAAAATGATGAATCTCGTAAGTAATAACTAAAGGTGGCGACGGATCAATTCTTGTGACAGAGGGTTGGGTCCTAAACCAATGCTCAAGTTAACCTTAGGAAGAAGGTAAGGACAATTCTCAACGGATCGACGCCTCACTCTTTTAGAAGATTTATGATTATGTTGTGTAATATTGTCATCAAGTAATTTGTATTGTAATTGCCAGAAAAAAAAGGAGATCCTGAATTTGGTATAGGCATTTCTTTAAATTGATCAACAGAAAGATCGTAGGTTTCGGGTTTTATATGTGTAATCAAATCCTTATCTTCTGTCAAAGGATGATTGGGAACAAACAACTGTTCTTCCGGTTCACCTTTGAAAGGAGAAGTAACCCGTTTTGCCGGTTCATCTTTGATAGGAGAAGTGAAAAATTCTTTCGGATTGGTAAAAGGGGTATCCCTTTATTTTTACATTTGATATGAGGAAGGAAATAGATTTTTTGTTCGGGTTTACGTTTTTTCTGAAATAAAAGTGAGCTTTTTTTTTGGTCCTTTTAGGTTTTGTAAAAGGGGAGATAGCCAGTGGTTCACAGTCAAAAATATAAGGAACAGGAGGTTTCGTATGTTTAGGCATGTTTTTTTCGTGTCGTGAAAGTGTGAAAGTGGAAGAGATGATTTGCTTCTTGTAATCGACCACATTGTTCTCATTTAAGCCAATCTTTTGCGATTGACGCGTTTCATTTCTATTTTAGTTAAGCGAGCATGATGGATCTAAGCAAATAATTCTCGAAATGTTTACGAACATATCCTTTCACTTAATAAATCATTTTTTGACATTTTATTTGTTAAAAAATTAAAATCGTATTTATGATTCATTTTGATTTTTGAATTTATTTCATTCAAATAAAGAAGTTTTTTATTTTTTCTTATTAAAAAGTCTGTTTGGCAAGTTTCGTCCAAGGATAAACCGTGTATGGACTTGTAAAAAGTGTAAGTAAACTTAGTAAATAATGATGTCGATAATTTTTTTTTTATTTTTTACATCAATATAATATGATTGATTTGTAAATTATCTACCCAAGAATGCGTACATT